CCGGGAGCCAGGACTCCTGGGTTCTCTCCCAGCTTCTCACTGGGGTCCCCGCTCCCCCAGGTGGGCGAGAGTTGGATGGCGACTGAGAACTGCACCGAGCGCTGCACCTGCGCCAGCGCCAACAACATCCGCTGTGAGCCGTGGAGCTGCAGCCCCGTGCAGGAGTGTCGGCCGGAGAACGGACTGCTGGGCTGCCAGGACACAAGTAGGTGCCGCCCCAGAGGTGGCTACATCTCAGCGCCGGGTCCCTGAGTAACCAGCTGCCCCGCCCCAGAGCTGGGCGCATGTCGGCGTGCCTGTCTCACCCCCGGCTCTTGTCTCCCCCAGGGGTGGCCTCCTGCCACGTGGCTGGGGACCCTCACTACTTCACCTTTGATGGGGCCATGGTGACCTTCCTGGGCACCTGCACCTACACACTGGTGACCCTGTGCCGTGGGGACGGGCGCCTGGAGCCCTTCAACGTCACAGGCAAGAACGAGGAGCGGGGCCGGCCCGAGGCCTCCTACCTGCGCCTGGTGCACGTGGAGATCGGCGGCGCCCGCTTCACGCTCATGAAGAACCGACGGGTGCTGGTGAGACGCGGGGGGGGAGTTAGGAAATGGGGGTGCAGGGATGGGGAGCTGGAGGGGGAAGGGAAGAGGACGGGCGGGGGAGGAGTCCCTGTGTCACCAGCAGCCCCGCCCCAGAGGTGGCTGCATCTCAGCGCCGGGCGAAGGGTCCCTGGGTAACCGGCCGCCCCGCCCCAGAGGTGGGCGCATCTCGGTTGCATTGGGGAGGGGAAGAGAGGGGCTATTTCAGGGGGAGGGGCTCCCGTGACCCTGTGACCCCGGCTGTCCCGCAGGTGGACGGGGAGCGGGTCCGCACCCCGGTGCTGGGCCGTGTTCCCGGCGTCTCTGTCAGCACCAGCGGGGTCTACACGGAGCTGCGGAGCCGGGCTGGGCTGCTCGTCCGGTTCGACGGGAACCAGCACCTGGAAATCCAGCTCTCTGGCATCTACTTCGGCCAGGTAAGCCTGGCCACACACCCCGTGGGCGGGACCCCCATAGACCTGGCCCTGTCCCCGTGGGCCTGACTTCTGCCTGGGCCCCACCCTCATGGCCTGGCCCCGCCCCCAGGGCCCTGGCCCCGCCCACGTGGACCAGGTCCCTCCATGGCCCCGCCCCCCAGGGCCCAGGCCCCAGCCTGGCCACGCCCTCACGTCCTAGCCCCATCCTGTGGGCCTGAGCCCTTGCCCCTTTCCTGGTCCCCTTCCCCCCCGTGACCCATAACCCGTTGGGGGTGGGGCTGACCCTTGACCCCCTCCGGTGACTCTGCCCCCTGACCTCTGCCCCCTTCCCCCCCCAGGTCTGCGGCATGTGTGGGAACTACAACAACCAGAGCCAGGACGACCTGGCCCTGCCCAGCGGGCGCCCGGCCGCCAACGCCACCGACTTCGGCAACAGCTGGCGGGCGCCCGGCGACCCCGACCCGGGGTGAGGGGCAGGCCACTGATGGGAGGGGGCCTGGGCTGGACGACTGGCTGTGGGGGGGGCCCTGGGCTGGACCATTGACTGTGGGAGGTGGAGCCTGGGCTGGACCATTGACTGTGGAAGGTGGAGCCTGGGCTGGACCATTCACTGCGGCAGGGGGCTGGGCTGGAGCATTGACCACGGGGGAGGGATGGGCTGGACCATTGACTGCGGGGGGCGTGGGAGACGTGGGCTGGATCATTGACAACAGGCGGGGGAGCCCTGGGGTGGGCCATTGACTGGCATCTGGGAGGGGGTGTGGGCTGGACCATTGACCATGCCAGGGGAGGTACCTACACCAAACCATTGACTGGTGGTGTTGGGGGCCTGGGTTGGACCATTCACTGGTGTGGGGGGATGGACTAGACCATTGACTGGGGGTGGATGGGCTGGACCATTGATTGCAAGGGGGGCCTGAGTTGAGCCACTGACTGGTGTTGGGGAGGGGGCCTGGACCAGACCATAGACCATGGTACGGGGGGGGAGGTACCTGCCCCAAACCATTCATTGGTGGCGGGGAGCGGGGCCTGGGCTGGACCATTCACTGGTGTGGGGGGATGGTGGATTACACCATTGACTGAGGATGGATGGGCTGGACCATTAACTGCAGGGGGGGAGCCTGGGCTGGGCCATTGAAGGGGGATGGGGTGCAGGGGCCTGGGTTGGACCATGAGGGAGAGGTACCTGCATCAACCATTGACTGGTGGCGGGGGCCTGGGTTGGACCATTCACTGATGTGGGGGGGATGGACTAGACCATTGACTGGGGATGGATGGGCTGGACCATTGACCAGTATAGATCATTCACTAGGGCAGGGGCTGTGCTGGACTAGACCATTGACCGGGTGGGGGGATGGGTTAGACCATTGTCTGGGTGGGGGAGAGGTTTAAACCATTCCCTGGGTGCGGGGCTGGAGCCTGGTTTAAACCATTCACTGGGGAGGGGGAGTGATTGCTTTGCTCCCCATCCCCACTCACCCACGTTGTCCCCACTGCCAGCTGCCAGCCGGACAACCGCGAGGACCTGGACCCCCGCTGCAGCCCGCAGGAGAAGGAGCGGTTCGGTGCCCTGTGCCAGGAGATCCTCTCGCCCAAATACCAGGCCTGCCATGGGCTCCTGGATCCCCAGCCCTTCGTCCAGAGCTGCCTCTTCGACATGTGCGAATACCAGGGCATGGCCTCCACCCTCTGCGACATCGTCCAGGCCTACGCCGAAGCCTGCAAGAGCCAGGGCGTGGCCGGCCTCTCCTGGAGAAACAGCACCTTCTGCCGTAAGAGCCGCGCGGCTCCCCGCAGGGTGTCCAGCTCGGCGGCTGCGCAGCGCTTTTGGCTGGGGACTTTCCTTCGGGTTTTTTAGCTAGATTCACTATTATCTGCTAAGTTCCTTAGTGTTTTAGACTTCCTCCACTTTTCCTGCTTAACTTCCTCCGTCTTGTCGCCAAATTCACAACGTCGGTTTTTGGTTTGGTTGTTCATTTTCGCCCTTAAAAATCACCCTCCGTTTTTGCTAGTTTTTTGGTCTGGGAATGTCCTTTCTTTTTTGGCCAGCCTCCACTCATTCTGTGCTCCGGGAACTTCCGTCGTGTTTCAGCCAGTTCCGCAAAGATTTTAGCCACATTCACAAAGGCCTTTGTCTGGCTGGTGAATTTTTAGCCAATTCCGCTGGGAATTTCATTCATTTTAAATTAGATCCTGCAGTGGTGCAACATGGTGTTGTCTGGAAACGTCCTTCGCTCTTTCAGATTAGCCAGATTCACGTCTAGATGCCTGGGATTTTCCTTCGTGTAACCAGGACAACAAAGGGGTTTTGGCCAGGAATTTCCTTCGTTTTTCCATAGATATTTCTATAGTTTAACCAGCATCACAAAGTTTTTGAGGGGCTGAGAATTGCCTTATTTTTTCCTATAGTTTAACTAGCACCGAACCGAGGTT